ACATTTCTCATACCAAACTTACATTGTCCATCTTGCGCCTCACACATCGAGGCAGCCTTGTCTGAGCTCGACCCTAAGCCGTCCTCCATCCAAATATCAATCGTCTCTCATACTGTCACAATCAAGCATCCTTTCACGCTCTCATTCGATACAATTAGTGAGACACTCGATGATGCCGGCTACGAAATCTTTGACATCATCTACGATCCAATTGTCGCGCAGAGTGATCGGCTCGGCGACTTGGAGCGTGGGATTGAACCACTGACCTTCGGACAAGCTCTCTCGAGATGGCGCTCTAACATAACAGAAGTTGAAGCAACCAAGCGACGCCGCCATATCGAGGCCTGCCAACAATGTCAAGAAATGTCGCGCACGCCGTCCTCGGCCCACGAGAAAATTCTGCCGGTAGTGGTCGACCATCTGGCCAAGCTCCCCCATCTATTCGATGCCACATTCCTAGTGGAAGGCATGACCTGCAGCTCCTGTGTAGGTGCCATCACGAGAGCTCTGAAAGAAAATGCATGGGTTCGATCTGCCGACGTCAGCCTCATCAGCCACAGTGCCGAGGTGGTGTTTGAGGGAGGTGAACCCGAATCGCGTGCCAAGGAACTCATAGACATGATCGAAGCGGTGGGATATGGTGCCTCAGTCGATCGGTTGCAACCCCACAATGCAAAGAAGCCAGAGATGCACAACGCCCCTGCTGATGCTTGGCAAGCGACCTATAACCTCGATGGTATGACCTGCAGTTCGTGTGTGGGTCACATCACGCGGGCTGTCCAGGCACTTGATTTCATCAACAAGGTGGAGATCAGCCTTCTCAGCCATACAGCGTCCGTCACTTTCGTGGGCAGAGACAATGTCAGCGCAATCTCCCAGGCCATCGAAGACGCAAATTATGGCGCAGCCTTAGATTCAATATCCCCCGTTCGTTCGTCTTCAGGAGAAGACTCTCTACGTACAGTATCGATCCGTATCAACGGACTGCACTGCGAGCAGTGCCCAAAGCGCATCGAAGATGCCATCAGCGAGCTGGAGTGGGTGACTCTCGGGACCCCACCATCTTTAAGTGATCCCGTCCTGACCATATCATACATTCCGGACGCGCCTCGAAATACCATAAGGGGCATCTTATCTGCCCTCACAAACGCGGATCCTTCTTTCGAAGCCCATACATATCATCCTCCTTCGCTGGAAGAACGGTCGAGGCAAATGATGGCGAGTGAACAAAGGCACATTTTGTACCGTGTGGTCATGTCAATCATTGTGGCAATTCCAGCCTTGATCATTGGCATTGTCTACATGAATCTCGTTCCTTCGGATGATCCTGGATACAAGTATCTCATGGCTCGAATTGGGGGAGTCTCACGGGCTGAGTGGGCTAACTTTATCATGGCCACACCGGTCTATTTCTTCGCCGCGGACTTGTTTCACCGACGCACCATCAAGGAACTGCGCGCCTTGTGGCGTCCCGGGAGCAAAGTACCAATTTCACGGCGATTTTATCGCTTCGGAAGCATGAATATGTTGATCAGCTTCGGCACGTCTATTGCCTACTTTGCCTCGATTGCGGAGTTGATCATCGCCTCGACCCGAGATGAAGATGCCCATATGATGGACGCTGGTACTCCCAAGTCATACTTCGACTCTGTTGTCTTCTTGACCATGTTTCTTCTCATTGGCCGCCTGATAGAAGCTTACATGAAGGCAAAAGCTGGTAATGCCGTTGCCGCACTCTCTAAACTCAAGTCGACAGAAGCGCTGCTGGTGTCGGTTGACAGTGTAACAGGCAATACTACGACGACCAAGACTCCGGCGGATCTTATCGAAGTGGGTGACATCGTCCGAATTCCTAACGGTAGCTCACCTCCCTATGACGGCAACGTTATAGTAGGGGAGTCCGATTTCGATGAGTCCGTCCTCACTGGAGAGTCTATGCCGGTAACAAAGTCTATCGGTGACACTGTGTATTCTGGCACGGTCAACAAAGTCTCCCCGATATCTATCCGCGTCACCGGCGCCGCTGGGAAGTCAGTGTTGGATTCCATCATCAACGTGGTACGCGAAGGTTTAGCTAAACGGGCCCCGGTGGAACGGTTTGCTGACCTCATCACGGGATACTTTGTCCCCATCGTCGTCCTGCTTGCCATTTTCACTTGGCTGATTTGGATGACATTGGGCGAGGCTGGAGTCTTGCCTCCGGACTACCGAGATTCCGAAGTGGGAGGCTGGCCATTCTGGTCACTTCAATTTGCGATCGCTGTTTTCGTGATTGCGTGCCCCTGTGGTCTTGGTTTGGCCGCCCCCACGGCGCTGTTTGTCGGAGGCGGATTGGCCGCAAAGTACGGCATCCTGGTCAAAGGGGGCGGAGAGGCTTTCCAGGAGGCCAGCACGTTGGATTGCATTGTCTTCGATAAAACTGGCACGCTGACCGAAGGTGGGGAGCCCAAAGTCATCAACTACGAAAACCTTACGTCCCCTGAAGCTCCGGTCAACGAGCGAGAAACTCTGGGTCTACTGAAAAGTCTCGAGGAGGATAGCATTCACCCGGTTGCGAAGGCCGCCGTCAGTTTCGCCGCTTCACGACCATACGAAGACTGCAAAGCTGAATCCGTCAAGGAAGTTGCTGGAAAGGGAATGAAGGGAGTTCTTCTAGTTGGATCTCAGCCCACGCGGAAGATTCACGCATTGGTTGGAAACGAGGCCTTGATGGCAGAGAACAATGTTGTTGTATCTGTCGAGAATCAAACGCTCCTTGACGCGTGGAAGATGGAAGGAAAGTCAGTCATCTTGATCGCCGCCAAGGAAGTCTCACTCGGGCAAAAAGCTCAACAAGCACATGAGCTGTCTGCCATTGCCGCAATCGCAGACAAACTTCGCCCGGAATCTTTCCAGGTCGTCAACGCGCTTCGCAAACGAGGAATCGACGTGTGGATGCTTTCTGGCGACAATGAAAAGACGGCCAAGGCAGTGGCTGGCAAAGTCGGTATCGAGGCGGGCAATGTCATTGCTGGCGTTCTACCGGACCAGAAAGCTGACCAAATCAAATATCTTCAGAAACGAGGGGTCGAGGTTCCCTCGCGCGGTCTATTCAGGTATCTTAAACAAGAGAAGAGTCGTGCCACGGTCGCGATGGTGGGTGACGGAATCAACGACTCTCCTGCGCTGACCGTGGCTGATGTGGGCATCGCCATTGGATCTGGCTCTGAAGTGGCAATTTCATCCGCCGGTTTTGTCCTGGTCTCGTCGAGCCTGAGGTCATTGCCAGTCTTGATCGACTTGAGCCGAGCAGTGTTCAGGCGGATCAAGTTCAATTTCTTCTGGGCAGCTGTTTACAATATGGTCGCCCTCCCGGTTGCTGCAGGGGTTTTATACCCAATCAACAGCGGAGGAGGTCGCATCAGACTGGATCCTGTATGGGCGGCTTTGGCAATGGCATTAAGTAGTATCAGTGTCGTAATTAGCAGTCTAGTACTGCGTGTACCAGCACCTTTGATCGGGTTCAGAGCGCCCAAGGAACAGGACAGATCTGAGAGTTGAACAAGCGAGGAAGGGACAAGTTTGGGAAATCTCCCTTTTCAGGTGGTACAAATCTCATGAGGCCGTTCTGTACGTAGCTATTAACTATTCAAAAAATCCCTCTCCCAATTGAGTGGCGTTGGCTACACCTGAGCGCTCGCGATTCCATCCTTCTGCGCCTCCTAGAGCGCTCACGTCATTCCGTACATTCTGGCCTGTAATCGGGAGGAAGTGTGATTGAGTGATCGACGCACAATCTGCCATCTCAGATACTCCTGCGCCCGGAGATGTGAACAAAGGATTGAAAGGCTCGAATTGCGGGAGAGAGTCGTAGAATGGAGGCTCATTGGGGACGTAGTTATAGTTGTTCATGCTCAAGTCCCCAAGATACCCATCGGAATTGAACTGGGGTTGCACCACTGGAAGGGAACCATACTCAGATGCTTGATTGTACGATGTAAACCAGCGTTCAGGGAAATGTTCTAGGAGTGACCCATCTTGCTGGCTGTTCAACAATGGGATATCATGATTCAAGGGGTATGAGTGGGTGCCGGACTTGAACATTGTAGTGCTGACGCCCACTTCTCGATCGCTCATCGTCCCCAGCAAGTTAGAATGGTCAATTTCGGTGGAGACTGTTGCCCTGCCATCGCACGGTTTGAATTTTCCAAGGTGTGAAATTTTTTGCTCTTTCTGCTCTTTCTTGAGAGAACAAGTGCATCTTGAATTGTGTTGGCAGCAGCATGTATGAGGGACTGGTCTCTAGTTAGGTTGAATGATTTAGAGGTATGGGAGCTCACTATGCTCGCCATCACGCTGATTATCGGGACAATCTTCCTCTGTGTGGCCTTTTTGATGACACTCACAATGGACATGTTGGGATTTAGTCTTGCGCATGCGCCGGCAGTGATGGCACTGAGAGACTGGACGGCCTTTCTTCTTTATAAGTATTAGGTCCTGATCTGCTGTATTTGTCAGCTACATACCTTGTGTGAAGATATTTGCGAAATCGAACCTTTATGATCACAGGAACTGACCCGATGGCCTCTGAAGCAAGCTTCGCACGCAAACTTTTCTCCGTGGATGAGCATCATAGGACAAATATTCGCGTTTTGGAAGCGGCCTCAAAACACCGATCGGAGAGTGTGCTTGAATTGATAGTCTTCGTAGATGCAAAGTCCAGGGGATGCTTCAAAGTTGCTATGAATTTTCAATGGTCAAATACGCTTGAAACGAAGTAGTCACTCAAGCTAACTGCTTGACTACATCAGGGGCTTTGTCACAGGAGACGGCAATATATCCCTAGTTGTATGCGGCCCCAAAGTTTGTGGCATTTCCTAGCTTCCGGCTAGTTTCGCCAAGCCCCGGAGAACTCGACCAACCACGACTTTACCTAGTAATTAGAGTTCAAGCACCTAATGGGTTGCTCGCGTCTTGTGGTGTGCACCTATTGATTGCTTTCAGAGACGCAAGCCCTGTTATATTATTGTTTCGCTATTCGCCAAACCCGCCGATTCCCAGGCAACCAGCGTGTCATGACGCTGTATCGGATGCGAAAAGATTGTGGGGAACAGTGAGAGGAAGTGTGACTTGATGATCCGCCAAGCCTTCTTGGCTGTTCTCAGGATTACGCTGACCAGGTCTCGGGTTGATGCGACACAGTAAGGCGCACGCGTCGAGATGTAAAGGCCAACTGGCGCCCAGGCTATGACGTCTTCTCGTTCGAGGTCTATCACGTGACAGAAGTCGTTTGGGGCGCTCAGACCTAGTCCACATGGACAACTTCTCCATACGTGTAGTCTTGTGCTCCTCTTCAGCGCGAAAATCTCTCTGACCCTGAGACGCACCACGACAGTCCGTGGGCGAGTTCGAGGGCCAATCTGAGGGCATGTCTGTCTGTGTTTCAGGTTATGCAACCGCTTACCGGCCGCGCAGAATGGTGGGTGGCCCGTGGTTCAGGATATGCGACCGCATGTCGACCGCCTCTGCACACCTCGTCGAATGATGGGTGAGTGGAGGTCGGCCAATAGACGATAGCATAGTCTAAAACAGATACTGTACCTGCGGTCGCTCCTAAAACGAGAGCTATCACCCATCATTTTGCGAGGTGTGCAAAAGGTGGTCTACAGGTGGTTACATAATCTGAAAGGCGTGCATGCCTGCAGATTGGTCCACGAAATCACCCAACGATAGCCGTGCTGCGTGGGTAATCTTACCAAGGCATATCTGCTTTCCACTGCTGACCGCAATGACCCAAGTACAACTGCTTCAACTTGTGGCGGGATGTCTGTTACCAGGCTGAACGTAACAGACTACGCTGCGAGAAACAAAAATAGCAAGGAGGAATGTCCGAAGCCTGGTACCGAGCTTTTCCAGCTGAGAAGATGTCTTATATATACGAATCAAGATTGGTAGGCTTAAGATTCATGGGAAATTTTCTGTTCGCAAAAACTAATAACGTTTTACCTTCAAGCATGTGTTGCTATGTGAGAGACCAAAATACCAGGCCGTGCCTAATTGACCAAGCCCTTTGCTGGAGGTACATCGAGGCCAGCTCCCCCACCATGACTCCAACCAGCAGGGCAAGGATATATCCAGCGTTGACTGTCATGACACCGAGCATGCTGTTGGCATAGCCTGCATTAGCTTCCGAATCACTGATCGGGATCAGCCGGGGCAACGTACACAAGAAAGCCGAGGACTGTGTTGAGAACGTGGAGCAAGATTTTCACAATAAGACGGGCATTGAATGTTCTAGTCGACGTTTGGTCCAACTCATCAGCATCCATTGTCGCCACCCAGCTGCCGGACTTGGGTACTGGTTCCCCATGGGCACGTTGGAACTGCATGTGCCACATGCGGTCCAGCTTTGTAATGAAAAATTGTAGAATTCGTTGCAGAAAGGTCAACATTGCGAAGAAGAAACAAATTGCAACATAACCGGCCGCCGTTGTCGGTGTGAAGAAGGATATGAGGAAGGGGTCTCCTAAGCCGAAATGAAGGAAAGACGCCATTCCTTGCATGTTCATTGAATCCGAGTCCTCAGCATGCGAAGATGACGCGCTAGTTTCGACGGAAGAAAATGCAGAAATAGTGTTGACTGCAGCCGTTGCCAAAACGGTAGCAATGGTCAAAGTCGGATCCGTGGGAGTGTTTATTGGCATAACCATTCCGTCCATAGCTAATCGAGAAGATGTTTGGAAGACGGTGCGGGGGAGGATTTGTGGACACCGTGATAAAGTGGAATGAATCAGGCAAAAAGAGAGTGATTAGGTGTGCATCGGGAGGTGGACATCTGCTGTCCTTTAAAGAAGATCATGTGGAGTTTTTGACATTCCTAAGCGCCTCTGCTCTCCCAGGGGCCAAAGTCCAATCATAATGCTAGGTCCGGCTGAGGCGCTATTCCAAACGATAGGCGTTGTAAGTCAGGGGCGCATTCCCATCACCCAGACAAGAGGCATTTGTGCGTGTTCCAGCGAAGCGGGCTCTCTCCGAACAGGAATCCTATTTCAGAATGAGACTGCCAGCATCATGTCATATGCGGGTTAGCGTGGTCTAGCGCGGCCTTTTGTTATACGCTCCAGGTCCTGGCCCTTCGAGAATCTATTGGACTAAAGGATCCGGCGTACGTGGACCATCCACGCAAGCGGTTACACAACCAACCAATTGTAGACCCAGTCCAAACGCTTGGGCCGTGATGCTCATCACCTTCTTCTTGCGTACAGCCTGGCCGCCTGTCTTAATAAATTTACAAGTAGGCTAATCTAGAAAGGGCTCTTCTGGTGTTTTATGTGTGGTAGCGTCCTTATGCGTCTTTGAATGATCAGCCTTGGCATGGACCTCAGTCAACCTGAAGCGTTTCGTCTCGTCGCAAATTGTGCCCCATCAATTAACGTTCTTTCCTCTCTCTTGTCTGTAATTCCGTTCTTGTGATGGTATAACATTGCTTTCGCTGTCGTTGTTTCTCAGTGTTCGTTTCTCATCTACACCTCCAACTGTCGCGCGTAGGTTTGAGCGGGCCTCCCTAGTAACGGCCTTCCCTTCACCAACTCCGTCAAAATTTCCACCCTCCACAACCTAGCAAATCGGACCGCAGTCAACAAAGATGGAGGGCCGGAACAAGACTCTATGGACATTCATCGGCTTCGAGGGTCTCTATCTAGCCTGCGCCGTCCTGCACCTCGTTGTTCCTTTGACTACCCGCGCCTCACTCCGTCGAGCGCCCATGATTGGTAATGTCGCTTCCGATCTCCTTCTCGCCCACACCCCTCTCACCGGTCTGCACCCCTATTCACACTCAACACTTCATTCACTAACATTTTCTTCTAGCCTCTCTGGCCAACTCGATCCTTATGTTCATTGTCTTCCTTATGTCCCTCCCCGCCATACTCATCCAGACAAACCACCGCTGGTTGACCAGCCAATTGTGCGGCATCGTGATCACTACTTTCTTTACCCTCGGAATCGGCCTGCGCATCTGGTTCGAGACGCTTGAAACGCACAAAAACCTCGAGCCGCTCTGGAACCGTCAAGAAGAATTCGTACAGTCCCTACTCCAAAGCCGATTCGAGTGCTGCGGTTACAAAAACCCCAGTCTGTTTGTCCGGGACCAAGCATGCCCTACGGCTGCAGTCGCTGCGCAACTTGGCTCCTGCATGGCCCCGTTTGGCAGTTTCGCCAACCAATTCTTGGACATCGTTTTTACTCTTCTATTTGGATTTTGTGCCATCGATCTACTGCTGCTGTTGGCTACCATGTGCTTGATCAAGGATCGCAAGGAGAGAGAGAGATTTAGGAAGATAGATATGAAGCTCGGTGGTATGCAGATGCTGTAGAAGACATCGATGATGAGACAGGAAATAAGCTGGATCGTGGATAAGAGCTGGAGATATTGTCGAGTTGGAGGAAGTCTTCAACCACCCATCGGGTCGGCTTCACGACGCGTCTATCCATAGGGCATGGCGCAGTAAGTACTGTACCATTCTCGCTGAACACATTTTGGCTACTCGGGACAGCGAAGTTGAAAGTACGTCGACATTCCCAACCCTGTAACCAAAGCCAGCCAGTTAAAATATCTGAGATTATGGAATAGATCTTCGCTCATCGGCTTTCGAGGCTCACTTTCCCAGAGGTACACACTACCATTTGTCAACAAAATATCTCCGGATACGTGTCTCCGGACCTTTTGTGGTCACAAGCTTCGGCTTGGCAGTTTCAGATTCCCTCCCCAACCTGCCTTAAAGTTCTTCGAGGTGGAATCGCAAGGGTTTTATATACACAGTACAGTATATTAGAATGATTGGTCAGCAAGGCTCGCCCACGGACGGCTACGCTGCTGAGGCTGAGGATCGTCGAGACGCTTCCTAAACCATTGGTGCACGGGCCACAAGGACCAGCCGATGGCCACTGCTGGCTCGTGCGAGTTCACCTTGTCCTTGATCTGGGTCCGCTTTTTGGCAGTCTTCATCTTCATTTCCTCGCTGACCTATTGAGACTGTCTTTGGTGACGTGTCAATGTGTACACCGGTCTGCTGCTTTTGCTGCTTTTGCACTTGCTGCATTGCATGTTGTTGTAGTTCAGGCAGTGGAAGCATTGACTTGTTATTATGTTGCTCCTTGGGGATAATCTCGTCTCTATACATGTTAAGCCAGTCACTCCTCAAAAGGTTCAGCTAGGATGTACTCAGCTGAATGAGTGTCCCCTGTTCAGCTGATATATTCAGCTGATGGTAGGTTTACAGCATCCAAACAGGAGGTCGAGCCTTGTATCACAACACATGTCATTTTTGCCGCGGTGACACAGGCATCAGTTTTCCAGACGTTGTATCTGCACCCGTTCACCAACTCGGTGGCGCTGCTGGGACGAGATGTATGACTGGCAGCGCGCACTGGATTAATGTGACCTGCGCCGCCTGAAGGACTGGAAGTCATAATAAATTCCCACGGTTGGGTCGTGAACCCGGGGGCCGAGATAGATGGTGATGGAGGGCGTCCTGTGGTGAAAGAAATTCCCTCGAGTGGGCACACTCAGCTAATGTACATGTGATAGGCCGACCTGAAGCAAAAGCACCCCGCACAGAAAGACGTCAGACCAGACGAGTGGCGAGCCAGAGGCACTGGCGCGAGTTCCGCCACGGTCTTTGCGAGTGATGAGCTGATCCCATCCCAACCCAGCGACTGAACATACTCGGCATACAGACCGCCGTCACCCCTCTCGAAGTAGACACGCTGTTCCACTGCTGTGGCCCCTACACTGATCTGCTTAAAGTGAAGGGTATACACCCTCCCCATCGCAATCTTCTCTCTTCTGTCCATTCAATCTGTCGCGTGTTTCTGACTTCAAAGGAGACTCTGTGCATGCCTGAAACCAAATCTTTGCCTGTATCTGAAGCTAGGCACTCAGCAACAAGTCCATTAGGTTCGTCATCCCCAAGGCTTGACCAATCCATCGTGGTAGCGGATGCCGGCAGCCTGAGTTTAACCCCTGGACCGAGAGACAATCAGCATGGACCAAGCAGTGCACAGAAGAACCTCCGTCAGTCTCGAAGACGTCGGGCTCCCTTTCAATCAACTGTGGGACCATAACGCGGCGTTTTCAAATAAAACATACTGTTCACAGCCACTCATTCCTTATAGGGGACGGAACTGCGAATGATATACAGGAGTAAGTCAAGTAAGGGCTCAGCAAGTCATATCTGAAACTCATGGAAGACCGAATCCGATTTTTCGATTCATTTTTTGTATCAGCGCATTTGGCGGAGTGCCATAACCTCATTCGTCATAAGTCATTTTTTTCGAGTCAAATTCAGGTTCTTGGTCTCTTTACAGCTCTCACAAACATTCGTTGGCCTATGCCTTGCCCAATTCAACGAGGACGAGTAGCGCCACGTTCATGATCACCAGCACTAATCAAATCAACACCGCCAGAGTAGTAACGATCCATCCATTCCGCATGTTGACAATTTCGTCGTGGCTTCCCTGTCTTCCATCCTCGTCAGCACGAACGGTCATGATGTGGCTTCGGCAGGTGAACCAGAGTAACGGTGCATTGACCAATGGCAAAATCACGCTGAGTACTTGGGTCGCTGTCAATGCCTGGTTGAGACCACCTTTTCCAATAGATCCGGCGATGATGATGCTGGGCACGATACTGATTCCACGCGTCAGCAGACGGCGTAACCAGGGTTTCACAGTCCAGTGAAGCATTCCTTCAGATACCTTTTGCCCGGCCATGGTACAGACGATGCCCGCAGAGGTTCCTGAGAGAAGTAGAGCGAGTGCAAATAACACGCCAGCGGCTTTTGATAGGCTTTCAGTGAGGAGGCCGTGAATGCCGAAAAGGTCTGCTTCAGTGGCTTCGGTCTTCGGGTAGAGGGATGACTTAGCAACGATAAGGATCGCACGAATAACGCAAAAGTAAAGAGGGAGGTTCCTAGTTCGACTATGGAGTATTTAAGGCATGATCGTATTGCCTGGATGGAAGGGCGGTATTGCTGCTCGGCTGGTGGTATTGTAACCGTTCTGAATGTCGAACTGAAGGAGGCGTGGTTGCACAAGGCCAGAGCCGAGAGTGATCGAGTGGGGCATTACAGTTGCACCAAGAATTCCACAGGAAAGATAGATGCCGTTCCCTTCCACGACGGCCGAATATAGCCTCTGAAGACTTGGCCGATACTTGTGTCGCGGATTTAGGAGAGTTGGATGCAGAAACAGATCACCACGCCGAGAACGAGGGCCATGACGAAGAATTCAAAGAGGCGAAGGCGGGTCATGGACCCGTCTGGGTTATAGAACATGAGGAGAACCAGGACGTCGACGAGGCTTTGGCGCACCCGAGATTGCTATGATTGATTGTCAAAGTAGCTGTGGCGCCGGTAACGAACAACAGCCTGCAGGCTCTGTCACTTCCGAGGTAGACGATTGCTGCGGCGACAAGTCATCTGGATGCGCAGGCAAGACCGTCACGACGAAAGCCGCACGCTGCGCCAGTTTGAATACTATTGGTATTGACGGTCCCACAGCGTACGATGGCGATTGTTGCGGGAGAACGAATGCTCGCTGTGGTGGTAAACCCGCCGAAGAAGACGATAGCTACTGTCGCACAAAGAGGTTCGACGACGCAGGCTGTGCTGCGGAACAGAGGGACGATCGCTGCATCGACGAAAACTTTGGAGGCCATAGCTATACCAAAGACTTTGAAAGCTTCCAGCGGCGGATTCCAACCCACCGGTTGTTGCAGCACTGGGAAGAACGAAACCTCTATTACCATGCTAGAAGATTGCTGTAAGGCGGGCTATAATAACGAGTCCAACAGTCTGAAGATGAATACCGAAGCCTGCGGCTTGGAGTGAGATGGGAGGTGAAGATGGGGGATCCGAGCCACTCTTCTTAAGGCGCCAAAATTTCCGGAGCAAAACGGTATTGACGCGAATCTTTTACCGTATACAGAGCAATTTTACGCCGCCTTCCGGGCCCTCGTGATCAGCCTAGCCAATAATCATTATGCGTGCGTGAATGCTTCCCATCGTTGAGCTCCCCCAGGTGTTTGCTCTTCTTTCTCTCTCCTCCACGATCACACCAAAGATGTCTCATGCAGCGCAAGATAGAAACTACTCCGTCTACTCGACGGCTCCTCTTCTTCCCAATCATTTTCCTGCCACAAACCTATGAAGATATTATTCCGATTTCCCTTCTCAGGCCCATTTTCCCAGTAGAGCCATTAAGCCAGCTCCCAAGCACATCAGTGTAAATGCTGAAAGCACCACCGAGATTTTGGCCCTTCTCAAGGTATTACTGAACATGAATTCATGAGCCATCAACTCCACCAGACCGATGTATATCAATATGCCCGCGGAAATAGAATCAAAAACACCATTCACAATCAACGTAGTCTGACTCTCTGGAGGATATGTCGTCCTCACACCCAGACCGATGCCAATGGCCATAGGCGTACTAAGCCCATAAGCTAGAGCCAAGACGTAGGGAGTCCATTGTTTATATCTTGGCCATGGTGCGAGCGCGAGCCGTGACCCGAGGCCAAGACCTTCGAATGTTTGGTGGAAGATGATGACGATGAAGAGGGTGTCGAACTCGGAGCCAGCTACAGCTAGGGTCAACCCGATGAAAACGCTGTGAAAGATGATTCCGAATTCCAAGATGAAAATAGCGGTAACCTGAGCTTTGTAGTCCTCAAACATCGAACGGCTGTCGGCGTCTTCAATGTCGGTGTGTTCGCGAACATGAGCCGTATGGTTTTGTCCCGGAGCGAGCATGCTGGGGGAACGATTTCTGGATGCAGTCGTTGTTTCGATTGTCCGATCTGGATTCTCTTTGATATTATCCTTGTAGGGAGTTGGCGTGGGAGCTGGAATGGGATCTGTGCCTGCTTCGTAGTCGTTCCTTTGGCCAAATTTCCCATATTGCATGACCATGAGCTCGACAAAGAAGAGGACAAATACGGTCATCAGGGTAATGCCTTCGACCCATGGGTAGTCGGTAATCGGTCCAGTCAGACAGGGATTTCTAAGCGCATCTTCTGCTGGAGCGAGGAGATGAATGAAGGCTGTTGTGACGATGACACCGGAGCCGAAGTATTTGCAAAAGAAAAAACACCATTCTGGGATGCGCATGCCCTGTTGCCTCTTCGCGAACACAGGGAAAGTTGCGCCAATAGAAGATGTGGCCCATATGATGAACAGTGCTCCAACACGCAGGCCCATACGGCCGTCATACTCATTTCCGGTTTCACATGTTGGTGCTGGCTCGTCTTCTGCATCCTGTCGCAAGACAATGTGAGGGAAGTGTTCGAGAATCGCCATGGCCGGTAAGTGGTGCTTATGTCACAAGTCGTCAGAGCAATTGGCGACAGAAAAGACTGAAAGGGCAATACAGTGTCCCGAGGACGGATCTATATAGGTAGACTGCTGATCAGGCTTGAAAGAATCACGATAAATTGGGGTTTTGGGTGGGTTGTCTTCCTGTCTGATGGTGACCAAGCCCGCCAATGGAACTCAGCATGGGCCACAAGTTCCCACTAGAGATTTCGCAAACCTTGGCTGCGTTAAGGTCCTCATTTCTGAGGTACCTTCGCTTTCTGCTCTGAAGGTCAGCTCCGACTGCAGCTCTGGGCATCGCTTCACTAACTCGTGTCTGACAGGCCGACGGAGCTGCAGATGATTGCGAAAGTAGCATTCCTTTGCTGGCGCGGTGCCGCACACAGAAGTGGACCTATCTTAGTCTTGTACACCATCCTCGTCCTATTCGCCTCTCAAGGTCGCCAAGTCATCCACCAAATCATCTCCGTCGCGAGTCGCCGGACCACTCATTGCGTGTTTCGTTGTATTCTTTTTCTTCACGCTATGGGTATGCAACAAGCTTGAGTATGGATACAAGTTAGGAGCAACCCAAAGCTTCACAGCTGCAAGGAACAACTTTAAGCTTGCTATTGCTCTTGCTGTGGTAATATTTGTTGGATTTCACGAGCGGCGGTGCGCCCTTCATCCACGGTGCCAAAGACCATGCGAAGTTCCGTCTCAAACTCCGAGAAAGATTCGATGAGTCTTTTGGTCTTGTCTCTGGAGCCAACGCCGTTCTCATAGTGATCCGTAAGATACGGTTCGAACCACCCGAAGGCGGCGTCCTTGAGATAGCTAGCTGCAAAGATGACTTTGGCTTTGTCGTCGGGGAACCGTCCAGGGTTGAGGTCATACGTCATGCGCAACTGGATGAGGTAGGAGCGAAGGAGCGAAGCTCAGTGCGCCGGCCTGTGAAGGGCTCAACACGGATCTTCAGGCCTCCTCTGTCATCTTGGTTGTTGTAGTTCATGTTGCTGGATGATTGGCTAGTTGTTGGGGTAGCTTTGGTGACCTTTTTGCCTAAGACGGATCCTTGTGGAGATGGGGATCGGACAGACATTGATTGATACTATCCTTTTGCAGGGTAGTCAAAGTGTTATGAACCGCTCACACGTCGGGTTCAAACTGGGTTTAGCAGCTTGGTGGGAGTAGTATCAAGGGCAACGTCTTCACGGGGACTGGCTGATACAGGTGACTAGCAATGCCACTAGTCGGGTTGTTCTCAGAAGGTTTCAAGTACTAGAGCAGTCTGATTAACGAAGTTGACTACGAGAGTCCTACCTAGTGTCGGGGCGGTGCGTCCCTCTATATACGTGCTGTATAGCTGTGAGTTCCATGGTTCCATGATACCATGTTCCATGGTATCATGGGAGCATGGTGCCAAGTCCTGCCTTTTTGGGCCTAGTGTCCGCGGTTGGCAAGTGGCCGGGTTTGGTTTGCACACACCACACGGAATATGGGCCTTCCACGTGTGGTGTGGTAAGTGTTCCAATTCCTAAGGCCAGGCTTTCCTCGGGATGCCTTTTCCCTGAGGAGGGACATCCCCTGTGGTCGGGATGCCCCTGGGGGCCAAGGCCCCTGGGGTATTCGGTTGGCCTTCCTGATTTGGCTTTTAGTGGTGGCCTGCGTCGTGGTCGACTTCAGGTCGTAACGCAGGCGTGGCAAATCATCGGAGCTGAGGCATCGCATTCCCAAGGCCCGGTCTTTGACAGGAAGATTGGCTAAGAAAACCCGCTTACTTTAATACTCCTTGATAAAACCGTAGTGCAGACGCAGATGATTCTGAAGGCGGGGCTGGTGCTAGGGGGTATCTAGGACGAGCTGATCCGCAAGAACCGTCGACCAAGGGTGGCGGACAAACCTCAAATTATGGCAGGCAAGGATCTGCACAAGGCCGAATGTTCTCCGCGATGGACCCGTCCATTACTCTGGGGTGGATGCCAGAAACGACCATCTGCTTTAGTGCATAAGTATGCATCACGCCATTTCAAGACCCTTATACCACTAGCCCTGGTCAGGCCGTTTCGAACCGGACCTCTTACGCTGAGCTAAACCTACTCACGGTATATTTTACGCCTAAGTTTCGACGTAAAAAAAGGGTGCTCGGTCACGTGATGCTCATTCTTTGCATATAGTTGACGACAATTTGCTGCCCCGCACCTGGGATTACAACAACCAGAGGTCGCTTGAAGTCCGCTTATCGCATGAAACGTCCGTTTAAGGCAAAATGATCACTGCTGCGTGGAAGAAACTGGCGTCGACGGCCACACTGCGTCGTTCTTCGCAAACGCTTTCCGTCATTGGCAGAACGGCCTATGTCTATGGTGGAGAGCTTCGCCCACGCGAGCCCGTCGATGCCGAATTGTACGCCTGTTCAGTTAGCCAGAGTAGGTTTTTACTTCGAGGGCTGTCACCGTAGGCTGTGCTCACATTAAGTAGCCTCGTCAGATCAAGGATCCCGCATCTCCCAAGTCAATCATCAGTCGGCTGCCCCACAGCCTCGAGTGGGATCGGCTACGACCGCGCTTGCTGGCAAGTTCTACATGTTCTCTGGACGTGGCGGATTGGCAATGGCACCAATTGAGGAGAACGGCTCTGTTTGGTGCTTCGACCCTGCCGAGAAGTCGTGGTCCCTGGTTGATCCAGCAGACGGTCAACTGCCATTTCCCAAAGGTCGAAGCTATCATGCGATGACCAGTGACGGAGAGTCTACCATCTACGTTCACGCGGGGTGTCCGGAAAATGGAAGGTTGGGAGATCTATGGGCGTTTAACCTCTCAACACGCAAGTGGACGGAGCTCTCATCGGCACCAGATCCTGCCAGAGGTGGAACTTCTATCGCTTTTTCCCAGGGCAAGCTGTGGCGTATGAATGGATTTGATGGAAAAACAGAGCAAGGCGGGAGCCTCGACGTCTTCGATCCCAAGAACAACTCGTGGACGTCAAACCAATATCCCACCGATGGCAAACAGGGACCCAGCCCACGGAGTGTGTGCTGCCTGCTTGCTTTAAATGTTCAAGGACGGCACAGTCTATTGACTGGATTCGGAGAGAGTGACCCCAGTAATCTAGGTCATCAAGGGGCGGGAAGAATGCTTGATGATGTGTGGCTTTACGACATTGCATCTAATACCTGGCAGCTGGTTTCGGCTCAGGATGGCACCAGCCCTCCACCAAGAGGCTGGTTCGCGGCTGAAACCGTTGGTGGTTCGGATGTTCTGGTGCAGGGCGGTCTGTCACCGTCAAACGAGCGGCTGGACGATCTGTGGCTACTTAGCTTTTGAGTTCGAGATCTTTGGTAGACTCATGGCACTATCGGTGTTAGCCGTGCCCTAATAGTGTGCCCCGGAGCCTGTACCACACCACACTACTAAGGCAACCATCTCACTGTCTCTGATAGTATGGCGGACTAATACTGTAGTGACACTGATTGTCTTACCGATCGAGTCTGCAATTGTTTGTACCCACAACACCTTATTTCAGATGTTCCAAGCTTGGATGTCCGCATATCCATGTCTCGAGTACAACAGGTATAGCGCCACATACGACTGGCTGGCCTGCTCCTTTCGCCTGACTTCATTGTCCCTAGTTAGCAATTACTAATGTTATGTCGTGATTGAGGCCAATTTGCTGAGCCACTAGGTGGCAGTCTCGTATTCTGTTTAACGCATCTCGCCGCCCGCTGAGAGTTGCGGTTGCCAGTCACACATCTTACCTTGACCTTGACTAAGAGTACCACCAATAAGATATTTACCATCACTTACATGTGTAAGCGAATCTGCGGAACAAAAAAGAGTTCTTTGACGATGGCAGCTCACTCCTTTCACCGATCTCACAGGTTTAGAGCGCCCAGTCCAGACACCTGAGGTGACAAGCAAAGCGGCCTCGAAAGACAGCCAGATGATTGACTGATCTAAACGGAGTAGAAATTGATGGTCCAGCTATCTACTGATAACGGTCGCAGGTTCTGCTCCCATGGCTTGATGAGTCTCAGGCCTCTCTGCTTTCCCTCTGCTATTCCCCGGCTCTGACCTTCTGGTCAAACCAGACTTTATATGAAAAATATGCCCAGTTCGGCGTTGAACGAACACGGCATAGAGCCCAGCTGTTATCCATGTTACAGCTGTACTCAGGAGCGCTGGCCATTTAAATTCAGTTGGCTTTGCCCACACAATGGTTGAGGCATAGGATAGCATTTCGAATATGTTCTGAAACGAGGCCTCCACGGTTGAGAATGCACCTCGATGGTCCAGATCGACGCCCTGTGATTATGTCAACAAGTCAACCCCATGTATAGGCGAGGAAGTAGTCTCACATCTTGGATGATCATCTGCGCACACAAGTCGTAACCCCAAAGCCCAATTCGGCTCAATACAACTCCTCCAACAAGTCCACTCGTCACTAAAATGGTGTGTTTCCCGTTGTTTTCGTCCACAATGAACCAAGTGACGCTTCCTGCCAGCCACAGCATTTGCCAAAGCAGGAACCAGACGCCTCCTCGTACAGCCCCAATCCTCTTCATTACCCTAGGCGCAATCCATGTAGCGCTTAGCTCGAACACTGTGCTAACTGTGCGAGCAATGCCTACGTGGATGGATGTATATCCAGAGAAGACCAAAAACGCTATCATCTGCCCAGAGAATGAAAGAACCGTAAGGTAAAGGATCGCCAGTGAGATTGATGGTAGGAATACCGGGTGTTTGAAATAGAAGGGGATCGATTTCAAGGGGATGACTCCTTCTGCCATCGAGCGAAGGAGCTGAGAGAGCCTGGTGCTTGAGATATTTCCCTGACCTTGGGTTGAAGAAGACTGTAACCCACTTTGAGTATTTGCAGATGGTGCTGGAGAGGATCGACGTAAAGCTGGGGCCATTTTGTATACCTGTGCAGGATTTTAGCTGGAATCTAGAAGAAGTTTGGTGAGACCCCTAGCAACCTTTGCTATGCAAATGTATTCCGCGAAAATTGAGACAGCGCTCATGCCTAGGGTGACCCAAATCGCAATGATGGTGCTCGCCCCATCAATCACCGATATAACCAAAGGCCCTACAAGCTTGCAAAACAGATCGATTCGCCGCATTCTAGCGTTCATTGTTTGACGATAAATATCGTTGTTCCCAGCGATGACAACAACCTGCGTGTGTGAGCAGTGGACATAAGTAATACCTGTACTAAGCTCTTACCCAGTCCCTTTCGACCGAGACAAGATTCATAATGGCACACAACTTTTCAAGACAGGCGAGAAGGACGACAACAGCGAAGACGCCTGTTCTCTGCTGCCCTTGCATACCCGGCTGTTGCTTGAGCAAGAACAACAGCCCGCACGAAGCGATTACCGCCACACGCTGCCCCACAATAGAGGCTCTCACCACTGCCAGGCGGTCACATCGATCAATTAACGTTCCCACGGCGGGAGAAATCAGTGCGGCGGCCGCGCTTCGCACCAGAGCGTATATAGAGACGAGAAGCAGTGTTTCTTCGGATATTGCTGTAACAAAGAGGACTGCCCCCATCTCGAAAAGTCGTGAGTTCCATGTCGACAAGAAATGCGAAATGTAAAGGTGCAGGGCCAGAAACTTAGGAGGCCTACTCCCTTCCCAGGAGCATTCAAGCTCTCCGTGGTGTCGGTCCCGGTCAGCATCAGTCTGACTATCGCCGCATTGTCCGGACTTTGAAGATTGGGTCCCACTCGGCGCCTGGCCAGCTTCGACTTCGAGCGACAAATGGAGGCTCGTGATTCGTTCGACAGGTCTTGCTCCATTTCTCTGGCCGGAATTCAGATCTTTCATCGGTAGCGCACAAAGAGGCAGCATCTTCGAACTGCGTGCCCTTATTACACCAAGGTTGATTTGCTCACTCAGAGGGGCAAATGGGTACTGTTGAGAAAATCTAATAAGGGAAAAATCTTGTGTTGCCGTGTCATGGTCGGGCTCTCGGGTTTTTGAATGGAAGTCTCCATGGCAAGGCCACTTCAATAAAGCCAGTACTGGAGCATAGCGAGACTCGCGCAGGAATGTCTCAGCGACGGAGTACTCTTCTGGACTCTGAATGTATTGATGTCTAGGCGGTGAGTATTTCCACAATGTACGACCGAGCAATGACTAAGAAGATCAGGTGAGAGCGTTATTTTCCAACGAAAAGGAACCGGCAAGGAGAAAGGTGGGCCCAGCATCAGTATCGTGATACAAGGGAGTTGGACGGCGTAAAATAGCGCCTGAAAAGGAAAAGTGCATTGATCCTGGCATCTGCAGATAATCGCTTGGCGGGCCACGTTGACTAATTTTAATTGGCCAAGCTGACGCCCCTGACGAAGGGGCATCAGTCGGCAGAGCAGGTATTGCCCAGTTCGTGGCTTGATGCCAGCGCTCGACTCGAGCTGAAGCAGCCAAAGCCGTGCTCTGTGCTCGCCTTTTGTACAGTTTGCTCCATACACTGTCTGATCCTTGCTCCGCGGCCATGGACGACCACAAGACGAGCCCGGAATCACGGACGACGTCCGCGTTTTTCCAACCCCCCCATAATTTAGCAGTAATTACTGTGCGAAAGAGACCGCATGGGTGACCTTTGATAAAGGTAAGAACGAAGTTAAAAAAAACCTTCCGAGCCTGATACATATTTCTTAAGCCCACTTCCCGAGCAACGCCATTAATGCCGCTCCGAGGGCCATCAAAAAAAGAGCCCAAAGTAGGATGCTTAGAGGTCCATCCCTCATACTCTTGTTGAACTTGAACTCATGCGCGATGAGCTCAACCAGACCCGTGTAGATCAAGATACCGGCAGAAATCGAGTCGAACACTCCATTCACGATCAGTGTTGTTCGGCTGCCTGGCGGGTAGGTGCCTCGGACGCTCAACCCGGCAGCGATCGCAATCGGCGTGGTGAATCCATAAGCCAGCCGGGAATGTATGGTGTCCATTTTGTATCTCGAGGCCACGGTGCAACGGCCAAACGTGCTCCAAGTCCGATGCCCTCAAATGTCTGGTGGAAAACGACCACAATGAACAAGGTGATGAACTCGCTGCCGGACACGGCCAATGTCAACCCAATGAAGATACTGTGAAAGACGACGCCGAATTCAAGGACAAAGATCGAGGTGAGTTGCGTCCGGTATTCGTCAAACGTGAAGGTGGCGGTGGCTTTCCGAATGGACTCGACTGTTGTCGGATCCTTCGCGTCCCTGCTGTCGTTGGGCGCAAGAGCACTCTCCTCACGGGATACACCTTGTTCCAGAGCCTCTAGCGCTCTAGCTTCCAGTTCGTTGCCAGTCTCAGCCCCGAATCTACTGTATCTAGTGACCATCAAATCCACAAAGAATAGAACGTAGAATGTCATTAAGATGATGCCGGAGACCCAATCATACTCAGTGATCGGCCCAGTCAGGCAGGGGTCGCGAAGCGCCTCCTCGGCCGGGCTAAGGAGATGAATATAGGCTGTTGCAATAATCACGACGGATCCAAAGTATCGCGCGATAAAGAACACCCATTCGGGACAATGAAAAGACCGGTGTCTTTTTGCGAGAATTGGGAGTATGGTGCCAAGCGTAGAGCCAATCCAGATGACGAAAGACGGAGGCGATCCGCAAGCCCATGCGGCCATCGTAGTCGTTGCTCGATGAACACGCCTCGGAAGGCAACGCTTCCTGCCGTGGTATGAGAGTCGTCAATTGGTTCACCGCGAGAACGCTTTACGAAGCTTGTTTGGTTTTTTTGATAGGAGATGGAGTTACCATTAGAGGCAGCGCTGGAATCTCTCTTATTTATCATCATGTTTCTCGAAAGTGAGGACCTTAGGCTGCTGAGCAGACCGTCGTATGCAACGCCTGTGGCTTCACGTATCTCGTCGGACAAGATGGCATCTGGCAGGGGTTACAGATCTATGATCTGCCAGTCAGAAAAAGACATATTATGCGCCCGGATACGCCTGTACCTAACCATTAGCGGCTAGAAGGTATTATCAGACTTGCGCTTCGCCATCAGTACATCCCCAACTTCTGCCACGCCGAATACTTCTGATGGCAAAGAATCTTACTCAACATGAGCAGTCTTCAGTTGATATTGAACGATGAAGAAACTTCGCCCTCGCCAGCGACCACACGGTCTGCCCGTGAGGATGCCACATCCACATCAAACCAGCATAGAAACCGGTTTCTAATTGATATTGCAGCCGCCCACCCGTGGAGATTGCACTGTGCCGCTACGGAACTGGAAGCTCGCGCTCGTTTCCCGATCGCATCTTTAACAGCGCCACTCAACGACCGAAAACTTCCTGTCTTGAGAAAATAATGAGATGTGCGCCTGGGAGGATGACCCTCTAAAGAGAACCGAGCAAACACTGTCTATCGTGACCACGGCAGCTTGTAGTAAGGGAGTTCAACGGCCATTCAAAAACATGATTACTATTAACAACATCAAGGCTCGACCAATTATGTGGTTACGAATGCGATTTTCTGACAATGCAGACTGGATCTGGGCAGGTTTAAATGGCACCATGTAACGTGGAAGGGTAAAATCACGAGGCATTGGGCTTGAAGCATATTATTATCTTCTTGAGCATGGCTGAAGAAGGAAATGATATTCCTCTGCGTGAATCCCCCTTCTGGGATCTTCCCGAACCCTATCGCCGTATTCGATTGGCCACTAACATGGTGGTGGCTTGACCCCGCCAAAGGAATCCCATCCACTCGAATTCGGCAACATTCGAGTCCTCACCTCAATCTACCAAAGTGCTGCCAGGAGCCCAGGCGTAGACGCACTGACTCGACAGCGTCTGTTCGCAGGCTCCCTCATCGGCTTGATCACGCCTTATTGTGTTCTCAGGGAGGTCCTTGAAGAGAAATGCGCACGCACTGTACTCGTTTGTGCCGTCATTCAGGTTAGTGTTTCCTGTCGGATCAAGCCATACGTCCGCTACCGCACCATGCGACTCATCTTCATTGATAATCATCCTACTCCCTATCCCACTCCTTCTGAAGATCAAAATCACCACGTGCAAGAAGATCGGTCTCATCTGTGTTTTCACCCTGCGCCTCTTCACCACTATGTGCAGCATCATGCGCATGGTACAGATCGAAATTATCGCCGAAAACGGCAACAGAAAATCGGCCCCTTTCCGTTGATTGTGTGGTACGCCATTTGTGAAGGTGCACGTGAGGAACCAAATCGATGAGTGGACATCAGGTGGCACGGGTATTGTATCGGGGGGAAGTGACACCTCTCGAAGCAGTAGGATTTTGGTCAGAGTGACTGGTGGAATCATTGACACACCCCGCCAGGTCTTCTCCAGCGCGGGACGCCAGATATGGACGGAGTGCCTGGTGTCACTCAGGTCAGTGACTATGCCCCAGATTCCTCCCACCATGCTCATAGCTTTTTAGTTCCCAATTCCAGCGAATGGAAACTTCACGTACCGGTTCTCCACGGGGTCAGAGTACGGCTTCTTCTGGTACCATTCCCATTTCCGAGCATACTACAATGACGCGGTGCGGGGCTCCCTCGTTATTCATCCTTCGCCTTCGCGCCGGCGCCCTTTCGAACCTATCGCTCGGAACAGAACAGAACTCGACGCGATGATTCAAGCCGAGCGAGATGCGACACCCGTCCTTTTGACCGACTGGTACCATAGGTCCTCAGATGTCATCTACGACGAGTACTTCAACACTGGCGCATTTCCCCAGTGCGTGGACAGCCTCCTAGCCAATGGACAGGGAAGAGTCCAATGCTTGCCCGAAAACGTCTTGCAAGCCGGCCCGGGACTGGGAGTACAATCCTATGTCGCAAACGACCCACATGATCCTGAATCTATGGTAATGTCGATGCCCACGTCGTCTCAGAGCATGTCATCGATGTCAAGGTCAGAGACCTTAGACAGTGACATGTCTATGGGTTCAATGCCAATGGACTCGTCCATGAGCATGCGCAAAAGATCAGATCACCTTGCCATGACAATGACGGAAATGCCAACCTCTGAGACGAATATATCAATCTCTGGGACTGGAACGTCTAGCTCACCCATGTTTAGCACGTCTGGCATGTCCGACATGTTCACACTTGGCCCAAAAGGTTGCAGTATGCCAATGATGTTTAAGCCAGGTTTCAACACTAGCTCTCTCCCGCCAGAAACATGTAGTAACACTACGTCTGATGTTTTTATCTTTGAAGTTGACCCCTCTCGTGGATGGGCTGCTCTTCACGTGGTCAATGCAGCGGCGGTCAGTCGGATGAGCGTCTCACTTGATGGTCATTCGATGATAGTATACGCTGCTGACGGATTATATGTGGAGCCACAGGAAGTAAGGGTCGGTTTCTTGGGACATCTTTTCACCACATTTACTAAATGTCACAGGTTTTACATATGTCAATCGGCCAGCGGTACTCTGTGATGGTCAGACTTGACCAGGAGCCGAGAACGTATTCCCTCCGTTTCGCTTCATATCCCTATGGCGATATGCAGCAGATTATTGAAGGTCAGGCAATGATGGCGTATCAGGTGAGATAACGAAAGAGGAATGTACGATAGCAAATTGGCTGACAACTTTAGAACAACGGCACCATGACGACTTCTGAGATGGCTATGGTCCAGGATCCCCACTTGACTTGGATGCTGGTGAATGGCTCTGCAAAGTTAAACGCTCCGGAATTGGACGACCAGAAGCTTGCGCCTTTCGAAGGTATCTCGCCGCCCAATGGACCGTCTAACGTCACACAACTGTTTGCGATCAATCAATCTGGGATTGTGACCTGGGCGATCAACGACCATCCATACTCGGAGCCGTCAAGGCCGGTTATTTACGGGAATGCTTCTGATGGCTGGGAATCAGCCACCACTTTACACATGCCTGGTAATGCCACCATTGACCTTATCATGCATGTTGCGAACGATTCAATGGATTCAGTAAGATTACCCCTCTACTTTATGGCCCGCGTCTCAATTCATGAAGTGAAACTGACTCGAAGCTTCCACAAGATGGGCCATCCCATGCATCTCCACGGCCATAAATTCTGGTTCCTTGGAGCGGGCGAGGGCATGTTCCCTTACGATTCTGTTGATGCTGCACCTTCGTCGATGATCAATTTAGAGAACCCACCATATCGCGATACCATAGACTTGCCAGCGTCTGGATGGGCGGTCATCAGGTATGTGGCTTGGAAACATGCGCAGTAGTGCGATCATGGCTGATGTGTCTCAGATACGTCACAGACAATCCAGGAGCTTGGTTGTTCCACTGTCATGTGCAGTGGCATTTATTGGTAGGTCATACCCACTTTTATGACGAAAAATAACTGATGGATTCGTGAAACAGAGTGGTATGGCCGTGGTCTTGGTGGAGGATGAAGAGCAAATGCTCGGTATTGTTGGACCTATTGAAAACGCCGTGAACAACCCAGCAATGCCCGGCATGCCGAACAGAAGTGCTTCTTTGACGTTCGCCGGAACAACGCCGATGTTCTTGTTTTTCGTCGCTCTATGCACCACTCTGATGGGTCTCCCGCTTTTCTAGCCATGGAGGCAAATTGGTCCGCACGTTTGGTGCACAGGAGGAGTCATTGACTTGTGGTCCGGAGCTGTGTACTATGGTGGGATAGATAGCTCACTGAAAATTTTGCGTGCTTCCTTAGGGGCTGCAATTGTTGTTTCTTTTCCAACAGCTTGTACGAATGACAAGTCGCCATCAAATGGCCGTGATGAAACGATTATCTCTGTCGAAGAGCGAGAGGTATTCCTCCCACGAGCGCTCACAATTGGCTTACCTCACGTCGCAGAGAAGGGTTTCTTTACCCTTCGCAGGACTCGAAAGATATTCACACAGCTCGGTAGCTCGGTAGACCTGCGAAGATAGTACAGGAGGTGTGCAAAACCCCCCTAGCGTGAACGCGTCCGAAATGAGCCTTAGAGTAGCATCCGCGAGACCCTGCAAAATTCCATGGGTCTGAGTCCGCCAGAAGACTTCTCAATCGTCGGCTTTGCATAGGACTACGGCAGAGACACAGGATGAGGGATATGATATGACTGCCCGATGAAATGAGTGCAATGAGGACAGCGCTCAGTGGAATTGTAGAGGTATTGGTTGGCAGCATAGCTTCGGCGAGTAGTGAAAGCGAGAGGGCATAGAAGTCAGGTGCTGGAGCCCGCTCTGAGGTAGGGAGCAGAGGAGGCATGGGTCTTGATATAGTCTCAGCTCCTCTGATCACCCATTCAATGACATCGTCTTCTGAAACCTGGGCCGGTTAGGGTTGCCCAGAGTCGATAGCGGTAAAGCTCATGTACGTTGCCCTGTAAATCACGCTGCTTTTGAACCATCCTTTCAGTTGCTGCCTTGGTCTTTCACCGTTACGTGATCGCTCAGAATGGCGGACAAGGGCAGTTCCATGCGACCCACTACCTGATAGGTCTGCTTGAAGCGGGCGTACCATTCGCCGAGCACCGTCTTATGCACATCTTCAAGATCGGCCAGTTCTGCAATACAGTCCTCAGGCCTGACGCTCGATAATGCAAGGGCTCTCGATGGATCCTTGCCGGCATAGACTATGCGGTCAGCTGTTGCTCTGCTTGTAGAGACTGACGGAGCTCTGCATACTGTGATATGGCCCACCTAGGGCAAAGGCTTTGCTGCTTGACACATCAAAGACAATGCCGAGAATTGCGACCCATGTCGACCCGGCTGGGTCAGTTCCTATCGACAATGGTTTATCAGTGTGTTGCAGCGACCATAGCTTCGAGCTCACCGTCGGCCGCCGCTAGCTCTATCTTAGATACGGGTGCAAGGTTGTAGATGTCGCAACTGCTCAGAATACTGGGCTGTGAATCCTTGCTGTAGGTACGGGGAAGAGTGTGAGAAGCCATGATGAGTCTGCTGCATGATTTGATGGGAGCGACTGATGTTTAAGCATCACACATACGCTCTCGTCGGCCAAGAGCGGCAGTGTTGCATGCCTACGTCCGCTTATCCGCTCCCGCCGACCAAGCGTGGCAGTGTTGCATGCATACGTACGCTTCTCGTATTGAGCTACCTCCTTGACCAAGCTGTTCAAGTTCGCTACCCACAGCTGCCTTGCTCATGCTCGCAGGAACAGGTGTTCCCTCCGCGTTGATCATCCGAATTTGGCCTTCCTCCAACAGCCCTCGAAGTCAAGGACTGGGCTCTGCAGTTGTTCACACTTCTTACAGGCCCAATTCCTTTCATATTACACAGCCTCGGTCAATATACCTCGATTCTGACCGGTGCCGTGGCTGTCTTGAAGAAGCGGCAGCATGCAGTAGTGCCTAAAAATGTGAGATTCGGGTCTGTGTAAAACATGTGCGTTACCGGGAATTTTATACCAGCGTAAAATTTGACCTCTCCCGATGTAGCCAAGTGACCGCTTTAGATATTGGAGCTTCTACTGTGCGGAGGAACTTGTTAGGTGCCGGAAAGTTACCTTCGCCATACCTGCTGTCACAGAGCGGCTTCCAAAATTGTCTCTATTAAACATCTATCACACGATGGCATTGGTGGTTTCACTGGTTTGAGGACATGATTCTCCATTTTCATAGCCCCGATTACCACATATTCTGCCACGAGTCGGCAATTTCATCGCATATAATTATGACCGGCTTATGATCTGCGTCCAGCTACATCAGTATACCATCACAGCCAAAGTTGGGCAACCTACATTTCGTACAATGTTGTACCGTGCTCTAAAGAACTCATACCATTCTGATAAGATGGTCTTCTGTACATCCTCTAAATCGGCCCATTGAGGAACGCAGTCACCAAGTGCACGAGACGGATCCATGATATGGCCATCCTGGCTCGTATGCCGAATTTCGTGTAACGTCAAAAACTGCCCCTTTGACCGCAACCAGAATAGGCTTGGTTGTATCCGTTCCCATAGCATATTGTGTCAAAAATTGTGACTTCACCGGTACTTTCAGTGGCGAATAGCCAAATATCATACCATTATACTCACTGAGCTCTTCATAGGTCATTGGAGCTTCTTTTGGTTGATCAAGTTGTACGGGCACTTTAGGCCTACTGTCCCTGGGTCCTGAATGATGGTCAAGCGGTCTTGTTAGCTCTGACATGCTGACGGTTGCGATATCTCTTTTGGTGTAAGATTATTGGAGTGACTTGACGCAAACTATGATGATTCCATCCATTTGTAGTTCCGGTGAGATACGTCAGCTATATAAGATGTGAACTTGGGCGTTCAGAGCTGACGACGGCTATTGAGGCCTTTGTGCTCGATTCTTGTCATCCACCAATCAGCGTGGTGGAGACCCGAGTGCCAAGAAACCTATGGGATCATCCCCCAGGCAGTCAAGCATCACGTGCTTCGCCGAATGTCAGGACCACGATCCCTTCGGGCCATGAACACATCTCAGGTTCCACCTCATCCGTGACTTAGCCATCTACAAGGGCTGTGTCGAATCTACGGCGTCCAATGTCAGCGTCCCAGACCAATCGTTTACCCGCAGTCCCCGCTGCTTCCGCACACGTTGATCAAGCTGAGTTGTCTATTTGAGCTGAACTGTGGTACTTGTCGCAGTAGCAAGAAAGACTAAGAATAGAGCATACTCGAGTACATCACAGAAGTCGCGCGTCATAAAGATGCCACGCTCCAGAGCCAGCTCTCGCGTTCGAGCGTAGCAATATACACTTTATCATTGTCACATGCGGCTTCTTTCGCGAAGAAAAATAAATGCGCGAGGGGTAAGGAGGTGTTTTGCGCAAAATTGCCGCAACCCCGCAGTCCTGTGCCATTTTTGTCCATGATTGGACAGTTTGCGAGCGCCTCCGAAACCAGAGCTGGTACCAGGAAGAAGGGGGCTGCTACGTAGTCATCGAAGGCGGTACTGAAGCAATAGTGGACCCTTTGGCTCTGCGACAACATCGCGTAAATGAAAGGAGAACAGCGAAAATCAATCCAACGACCTTGTGCTACATCGCCTGTTCCGATCCGGTCGCATCAGAGCGCTTATACTACAGCGACATTTCACCACTGCGCCAACGAAATCAACGTCTTCTTCAGTGCAATTGCACTACAACTACCGACAAATACGTTTCCACGCCTCGATTGAGACCCATCAAGACTGAGTCTTGGTGCTACGACCGCCGCCGCTGCTTGCCGCTGCTCTCATTCGCAACCGTTCATCTTGGTGCTACGACCGCCGCCGCTGCTTGCCGCTGCTCTCATTCGCAACCGTTCACTTGAACAACGCCCATACCCGATTCCCGAGGCATGCTACACTGCTAATATGGAGACCGTGAGCATCCCTTCCTCAACCTACACGCCCTCGCCCGCACTCGCCGTCATTTCATGGATCTCTATTGGCTTTGCCGCATTGGCCTCCGTAGGGCTCACCTGCGACATTGTCTACCGTCGAGGATGGAGGTCCATGATGGCAATCATGTAAGTTGCTCTGTCTCGTATCCTTTCTGCATAACGTGGTCGCACACTGACTGAGAACATTCTCTTGGGCGGTAGGATCCCAGTCTACATCGTCAACGCACTCTACCTCTGGCCGATCACTGTGTGGACATACATCAAGTACGGAAGGCCCGAGGCACTGAAAAAGGCAAAGAAATTCGGGGATGAAGCCCAGGCGGGCGAAGAAGATCCGCTCCTACACTCGCATCATCGGACGGGCCATAGCGAAGGGAACACAGGCGCTGAACGGCGGTCGGATGGAACTGGGACGCACACAGAGGACCATGCTGGTCACCAAAGTGTGGACATGATAAATGAACGCGACGGCCACGCTCCAGAGGACAGTGGAGCAGCCCACCAGCACCACCACAACACGGGCGCGGACCGACCCATATTCGCCACTGTCACCATTGCAACCTGCCATTGCGGTGCTGGCTGCGTTCTCGGCGACATAGTCGGAGAGTGGCTGGTCGATGCGTTAGGCCTCACGATCGGTGGGAGTATGCTTTTCGCCGCCTTCGTCGTGGGTAAGTCAGCGCTCACTCCGAACTGTAACCTATCATTATCCGCTGACACTCTTGCTTTTTGCTCAGATTTCGGACTCGCACTCGCCTTTGGTATTGTCTTCCAGTACTTTTCCATTGCTCCAATGGCTGGGGACTACGGGTGGAAAACCATCGTCCGCTCCGCAAAAGCAGATTTCTTGTCGCTAACCTTCTTTGAGATCGGTCTTTTTGGATGGATGGCCATCTTCGACCTTTTGATCTTCGATCAGAAGTTGGGGATGAACACTGCGACGTATTGGTTCATGATGCAGGTAAGTCCACAGTCTCGATCTGAGTCTCCGTCTGATCCTTCTTATTGAAAGCTATACTGACGCACCGTGGCTCAGATTGGCATGTTCTTTGGACACTGGACGGGGTTTCCTATCAACTGGTGGTTGATCAAGAGGGGAATCAAAGAGGCCTGTGCCTGATGAAGTGTCACGGGATCACGCGTGGATGCCTACGCGACGACTCATAGGCGTCGTGAGACTTGAACCCACGATCGGGATACTGCAACTCTTTCTCTTCTTCGTGCTACGTCTTGTATTCAGACTAGAGATATTGTTCGAGATCAACTACAACGTTGTTACCCGAGGGGTGCTAGAATGTATCCGTGCAATCCCCAAGAAAAGACAGGGCAGTAGCTGTTTATTGCTGTAAGCGCCTCCCTTTTGAGACCGGAATCGTGTTTCGCCTGCAGCAGCGTGAAGTTTCTATCCCGCAGAGTAAATGAATTCATCACGTATCAACCGACTTTGCTGCCACTTGCCAAGCTTCACCGATCCCTGCTTTAGTTCACAAGGGAACGAATCTAAGAGATGGTGGTTTGCTCAATTGGACAAGATCTGTGGAGATGATGCCGATAGCCTGCAGTCTGTCAAAATCACGGTATTGGCAAGTCACCGACCCTGTCATAGGCATGCTGTTACTTGAGAGTTTGACTACTACGGGCGATGCTCCGGCGACAAGGCTTTGGGTGGATTAGAAGCTGGTTTCGGCCTGCGACGAGTCACGAACTCTGGCAAGAGACCTCCCAAAACCTGAGCCAGGCATGTCTTTCGTCCCAGATTCGGATCCCGGTCTGGCGCAAGAGGCCAGAGCCTGTGTCACTCCCCGCAGAAGAGCGGGAGGAACTGCCACAGGAACACGCTCCCGGGGAGACAAGACACCTGACAGAATGCTGCGCCTGGGGCATACGCCCGAAGACCCTGCAATCGATCGTTCGGCAGCGAGGCCGCCCTGGACCAGCACCGGCGAGACTCATCTGCCCACGTTGTGACGTTCGACTGCGAGGACTGCAATCGATCTTTCGGCAGCGAGGAGGCTCTGCAGTAACACCTGCGGGACTCACCCGCCCATGTCGTGACGTTCGACTGCGAGGACTGCGATCGATTTTCGGCAGTGAGGAGGCTCTGCAGCAACACTTGCGAGACTCTCCCACTCACCAACACAATCCGGAAACCCCATTAGATATTTTCTTCCGCTCTTTCCCAACTTTTGATTATGACCGTTCTCTCCCGCCAGCCACGTCTCATGCTAGGCTGCAAAGGCATGAAGGTTGGCGGCGGGGCGACGAGGTATCAGCCGATGCTTGGGATAGATACCAGACCGCACTGGAGGGTGAGTTGCGCAAGTGGTATGGTGCAGAGAATGATATAACTGCGTGGCATGTGTCGAGCGGCCTCCGCAAACATGCGAGCAATGCGAAGCAGTATGAAGCCCCCGCTGAAGAGAAAAGTCATGCTGAGACAGAACACAGGCTGTACGCAAAGCATTCGTCAACATTGTTGATCTGATCGATTGGGGCCGGCGACGTGGTAACAACGAGGAACCGGTTCAAACGTTTCGCAGTCTGGCGGAGTTGCGAGTCTATACAAAGGAGACAGGCAAGGTCTTTCACAACACGTTTCACCGAGAAGACGACAATGTCGTCTTGAGACACCTACTCCGCAAGCTCTTTCGCGGGGGGTTGTGAGCAGGCAAAAGGCAGCCGCGTGGACTTACGGTCTAGGAGTCGAACCGTGATACTGGTGGAACATGAATAGTGTCTGTGTGAAGGGCGCTGTAACTTCGTGGTCACCAGCTTCTTGGTCTATCGACAGGCAAACAAGTTTGGTAGGTTCGGAACGTCAAACCAATCCTGTCGAACAGCTCCAAATCCAACAAACTTATGTCCTCATGTAACCTATGTGTACTCTGAAGAGCTTCTTTTGTAGGAAGCGTCATCCAAATCCCGCCGTTTGGAGACGTGTTCTTCGTCCTTAGCATAGGCATCTTCGTCGCAGTCGTCAAGTTGCTCCTCGGGTGTCTGTGTCCGACGACGCTTCTTTATCCGTGGGTTTCGTTCCGTCTGCGTTGAATCGGCCATCTTCGCAATGGCCTCCGCGTCTTCAAGATACTGGTATAGCTCGTTAGAAGACACGGAGATGTCTTCGTCGATGTCTTCAAAAGTTCGGCATGTTCTCTCATCTGCGAAGTCTTCGAGGCGGAGATTCAAACCGGCTTTCTGATCGCTATGCGGCTCGCCGTCATCGTTCCGAAATATCTGTGCTGTGTCAGCTTCCGCAACGCAATAGATTGAACTAATTTCACCTGGTCCGCTACTGTAGGCTCAACGACCCAAGCTTTGTCACCTTCCGGGCCTTGCAATTCTGCCCGCCAGACAGAGAACGCAGCCCTTTTACTCTTGCTGTACTCGATGTCAATTCCGACAACGACTCGAATGGCAAGATCAGAACCCAGAAGATATTCTTCAGCGAGGGTCCTCAATCTGCGTCCATTCTGGGAATGAGCAACCTCGATGATTACTGTCGGCATCGGCGAATTCAGGTGTTGAAACGAACTGTCTGGATCGTGTGTCCCGTACTCTGGATCTCGGGGCCTTATCGTTGCCGACCCGACATCTCTGATACCTTTTGCAAAATCTGCAGCTGATCCGGAGCCCTGAGAGAGTAGACGCAGCTGCTCCACGATACGTCCACTCAAGCTGCGTGAGAATTGCTCGTGCACCTTCGTGGGCATACGACAGACAATGCACTGAGCAGAAGGAAGATAGTCGATCCTGTGCTTCGCGGTCAGAAGGGGGGCTCATTAGCTTTTCTGGAAGCGAATATTGCGCACCGCAGCTTATCCTTCTGCCGCAAAAAGGGACTCACGGCAGCCCAAGAGTCCTTGTCGACCTTGTGTATGGTGGACACCGCGCTACCAGGCTTATGCTCCGCGACTCGTCGAAGGATGTCTCTCGTATCACGCGCCTCCTTTTCGTCTGTAGGAGGGGGGGTCAGAGGAGGGCCACGAAGGCTGGAAGGTGGAGTGATCTCTTCGCTCTCATGCACCGGGACATTCATTGCCAGCAATGAACTATCGTAGCGACAAATGTCAATACAGTAGAGGTTGTTGATTCAGTGGTCTGTCGGCACATTTGCAGACAACAACGCGCCCACTCCAACGCCAAGGCCGCGGAAGAAATTCGGCCAAGCAACACCAGGCGCATGACATCTGTCACGTGACAGCGTAGACCCGCTGCAGTTAGTCTAGAAGGTTCTGCCGATCTGGTGAGCCTTTTGCTGCCACGGTGTTCAGAAGTGTTGGCATAGATGCTGTGTAACACCATGCAATTGCTCTTGGCCTTGATGCAGGCCTGGTCGCAATTGTGCGGTACATCGTTGTAGCTCAGTGACCAGCAATGGCTCCGAACCTTGCTGCTAGCCAGCATGCGGAGACCCGCGAAATGATCGTCTGTGGAGAGCTGAAAGATTGGCAGATTGGCCGGATAGCCCAATGCACGGAACGAACCATTCGGCGACATTGGGCGAACCTAGTGTGCTTCGGCAGCACTACTGCACCTCGTAATCGCAGCGGCCCACGATCCTCGGTGACCTCGGCAATGTAGACCTGTACCGTAGTGCTTTTTCAGGCTGGTCGCAACGACAAGGAAATCTGGGCCGGCAACGATGTTTGGCAGCAATCTGGAGAACGAATTTAACAACAGGATCCGCGATATCAAGAAGGGGAGGGGCTATGTATTACGCCCTCCCAAGTGAAGCGGACCAAAAGATATCCTGAGTCCACCTATGGCCTGCTACTAGTGACCGCTGGGAATGTCTGAGTTTGATCGTCGTAGACGAACACGTCAGCACATAGCGAGAATATGCAAAAGAAACAGGCGACTACGCCGCTGCCTCAGTCTTGGATCGAGCTAAGGCCCAGGATGCTCGCCTTAGCCTTCGATCAGCACAGAATTATTCTCCTCGAGCTGCCATACAAGCCTGCATCAGGCTCCGTATCTTTCACGAATACCTTCCCACTCGACGCTGCCGACCATTCGAGGGAATATCGCAGATACCTCAGTGGATCGTCATTGTGGGCTCCATCTTTATTCCATTCCTCGAGAGGGACAAAGCCGAGTTTCGGTCGGTTTACAGCAGCCCCTGGACAGGTCCGAGAACGGCCGGGGGTCGAGTTGGATACGTCGACAGGCGTGGACGCTTCGGAGGCAGGTGTGCTGGTGACACCTGGCGTTTACAGCGTTGCATCCGCCCAAAACGCGGCGTGCCTTGCAATTCACATGGTTGAGGCGAGAAGATGCCTGAGAACAGGCTCCCATCCATTTCCTCCATGCCGAGCCTTGCCATTGGAGTCTATGGGTACCGCAGGTTGGATGCGCCGAAGTCAGCATCGGCCAGGAGCAGTGGACCCACCTTCCATGACACTCTGCGAGTCACCACCGTCCACCACAGCTCGCCGTTCCGCATTGAGACAACGGCTTCATAAACGGCGAAACTTGGTTCAACGCTCTGGCGCTTGCCGCCGGGTTGACCAGCGTGCGCATTGACTTTGCCGTGGTCTAGCACCGCGCCGACTTGTCCAGGTAAGCTCAATTGATTATCTCCGACTCTTGCAGGTCCTCTTATACCCGTCATCCCATTCGACTTATTCATCGACCGCAGGCCATCTCCTGGCGAGGACTTTTCGTGATTCAGGGATCACGATGTTGAAGGGACATCATAGGATCCGGAGAAGATGGCGTCACGACACAGAAGTGGTACAGCTGTGTAAGCCTTTTTGTTGTCAACATGTCAGCGCGTCGATCCCACCGGGTAGGTGACAGGTGAAAGAGATATGGAAAGTCCGGGTTTGCGACTCTGGGGTTCGGAAAATATATACGGTTGGGCGCATGGCGAGACCCTTCGAAGCAGCTGAATCATGATCGCTTCAGGGGACGCTAGCGGATCCTGAGCTCAGTAGGCACCCGCATACAGGAAATTGCACAATCAGCTCTAGAAATCGTTTTGGAGGTCTCGATGAGTAATCATGTCGATGTGTCTTTAACCTGAGAAAATACCCAGACCGCCATGCCAATTGTCTGATCGGGTGTTGCCGGATTTCCCAATGTTGCTGCCGAACGACCCATAGGCGATCCCACGCGGAGCGTAACTCAACTTCCCTTTTTGACTCACTGTCTGGCTGAGTCAAGCTAGGTGTCCTCGGGAGACCCTTGATAGCATTGACCTCCTTGTCAGTCATGTTTCGATGTGAATGTTTCACGATGAACGCAGCGCCCCTCTAATGCAAGACCCTTTGATTGGCTTCTAGGCCGCATGCGCATATGCGCATTTGCGGGGATTGCAGCTGAATGATGCTGCGCCGCAAGGCTGACAACCCGATGCCAGGCTCGGACCGTTCGTTCTCTTCCCTTCGACGACAATGAGGCTTTCATGTGTGACACCCTCGATGTGCTTGTGTTGTACGGTGCAGCTCTACACAACGGGCACACAAGCTCGATAGCAAAGATTATCCTACATCTCGCGTCTACAAGCTTGCGTTCACCTCGACTACCATCTCCTATTGCGGTTCAGCCTTGACCTCCCGACGTTCGCCCACGATGTCGAGCCTGACGGTGCGGGATTACCACATCGGCTGGATATGTGCACTGGAAGACGAGATGGCGGCGGCGATAGCCATGTTGGATGAAGAACACCCGATGATGGCGGGACAAGATAAACAGGACCACAACAGCTATGTTCTCGGGAAGCTACACCAGCACAACGTAGCGATCGCGTGTATGCCGGCAGGGGTGGACGGGCTGGTGTCGGCGGCCACGGTGGCGAAACATATGGCGCGCACCTTCCCTGAGCTCCGGGTTGGGCTGATGGTGGGCATCGGCGCCGGCATCCCCAACCTAGCCCGAGGTGTGGACATCCGGCTCAGGGATGTGGTGGTGAACATGCCGGACAAGACATGGGGCGGTGTGGTGCAGTATGATTCCGGCAAGGCGGAAAGTGGCGGAGTGTTCGTGGTGAAAGGAGAGCTCAACCAACCGCCAGACGTTCTGCTGCGCACCCTGTCGCAGGTGCATGCGCGGCACCGGATGCGGCCCAGCAAGATCACCGAGTACATCAATGAGGCGGTGGTGAAGAATTCGATGCTGGAGGACAATGGATTTGTACGGCCAGACGCACCCGACCAGCTGATATCTCCCGTCTGCAGCACCTATGTTGACGACGTGTCCAGCGGGTGCGAAAAGTCTGTGCACTGCTGTGTGACGCAGCTGTGTCATACTATCAAGAACTTCAGCAAATGGCTTGCCCAAACCATCCAATTCGTCTTTGGCGAACTTTTCCTGATTTGAGAGAAGTATCTGGGGCCAGCGGTTAAGCTCAGCTGATTCGGTGCAATCCCAATCTCTTCTGTTCATGTGAGGTACCGAGACTCTTCCTGCCAAAGTGGAAAAAAGCTTGCTCAAGAAGTCCTTGTACTTTGACCAGAAGCCGATGCTGAGTCTGGTAAGGAATATATATTGGGTAGAGAAGGTATCTCATGCACCGATTAAGGGATCGATCACTTTTGGGGTGGAGAGATTGCTTTAGAGGGAGCTGCGGTAATGTTAGCGGTGATAGATCAAAATTGAGTCGCTATAAACTAGTGAGTAGATTTGCTGGTAGATCAGCCTGTTCTTCACGGAGTTTCTCAACATGATGGCCCTCTGCAGTAACCTTGATAGCATCTGCCTCAGTCCTGGCAGCTTCTTCTTCAGAAGCCGACCGCTCAGCGCTCTGGGCGGGAGAGACCTCGAAGACCTCCGGGAACTGAAGTTTGGCCTTCAGCGTGGATGCAAAAATAGCAGGACCTTTGCGACCTGGCAGACATTATCGATGTTGTGTTCCTTAATCAACTCGTTGACAAAAAGCATATGCTGTCTCTTCAGGACAAGATCGCGTATCTCCTTCACTTTGCGCACGTGAGCATCGGGTCCCTTGGAAACATTCTTCAGCGCCAAAACAATTCTCTCATCCGGTGGACTTTTAGGCGTCATGACTCGAACGTGCCACAGATTCGGTGTCGCGGACTCCTTCGTGCGAACAGGGAGAAGGAGACAGCGAGGGAAAGTGTCAGTTTGAGTGACGAAGTAGTGTGCTCCGCAGTCCAATAGCCTCACAAGCCCGGTCAAGCCTAATACCTAGGTTTCAGCCTTGCCAAGTGTCGGCCAGGCTAATGTTTTCGAGTGTCGATTGACAAACACTTGCTTGAATCGGAACTGTTCAGCATGGAGTCTCGAAACATTATGATGCTTCGGCCGAAAGAGATGGCGAAGTTTCATCAAGTACACCATAGATAACGACAAGGATGTGAAGGTATTTATTCAAGCTCTAGTGGTACTGGCAATGACTTCCGAAAACCACTGTCCTACCCTTCAACGTGGCCGATGTCCACTGAATGCCACCGAGCCGTCTGAGCCAACAGACACTAATTCTGCTACGGATGTATGGACTTATAATGAATGCTCCGGGGATTCTAGGCAGGGACGCCTTCGCCCGAGCTGAGGCTATTGAAGAGCTTTGGGTCACGTGACCTTCTGGCCTTTCACGCATTGCTCAGTTAACCTTCTCCGCGTGGTGGAGCCGAGCGCTACGCTGTATGCGACCTGTTCGGGGCCATAACACTTGGGTCGAGGAAAAACGCAACGAAGGTGGGAATGGTATTGACCCTGAGACATAGCAATGGATTTGCGTGGGTGACTTTGAAGACCAATGAGAAAGAGTCCCCGTGTTTCAGATAATGCGACCGTTCGGAGGCCACATCGGATCCGTCAAAACACCTCGCAGAGCGGTGGCAGGACCTGATGTGTTGACCGGGCCATCGAAAGAGCCGCTCACATCTCTGTGGTGGACACTTGCTGTATTGCCCAATCAACCGGCTGCTCGTTTCTCAGGTTCACTTCTTTTCAAACGCAGCAGAATGCAGTATGTGGTTGTATCCCACGCGAGTCCTTGGTGCATGAAAGCAAGTCCGAGGTTGACCGGGGTTGGCAGGCCAATCACAGCAGAAAACCGAGGTTTCCTACTTAGGTTTAGCGCCGCCCTCCTACCAACCACGACTCTTCGTGGACTAAGATCACGTGAAGACACCACTCGTATTGGGAAACATACCTCATCAGGCAGGAATGCAGTCGGCAGGAAAGTGCGGTCTCCTTGTAGTGACGGCCACTGCCTCTCGTGGAAATTGATGCCAAGTTCGTCTGAAACAGGCACACCCCGAGCAGCACCCGGGAGCACCCACAGGCACACCGCTAGCCCACCCAGGAAGGTGTGCTACAGCGGCGTCGCACACCCTCTCGAACGGAAATGGAAAAGTGGGCCTGAAGAATCTGCGCCGTAGTCTTCGAGTACTAGCGCGTGTTTCAAGATATGCGGCCATATTTCGACCACCTCTGTATACCACATAGAATGGTGGGTGCTAGCGCATGTTTCAGCACCACCTCTGTATACCACGTAGAATGATGGGTACTAGCGCGTGTTTCAAGATATGCGGCCCTATTTCGACCACCTCTGTATACCACATAGAATGATGGATGCTAGCGCGTGTTTCAGATTATGCGGCCATATTTCGACCGCCTTTCTACACCACGTAGATTAATGGGTGGTAGCGCGTGTTTCAGGATATGCGGCCCTATTTCGACCACCTCTGTATACCACATAGAGTGGTGGGTGCTAGCGTGTGTTTCAGATTATGCGGCCATATTTTGACCACCTCTGTATCCACATAGAATGGTGGGTGCTAGCGCATGTTTCAGCACCACCTCTGTATACCACGTAGAATGATGGGTACTAGCGTGTGTTTCAGTACCACCTCTCTATACCACGTAGAATGATTGGTGCTAGTGTGTGTT